TGTACATCAAACAGTTGTTCAAGTATATGAGTGGAGACAGTGATGGTGAAACACTGTCTCCACTCATATACTAAATAAATCACAAATCACCAGTGATGGTGATTATTTCAATCATGGTTGAGTGTTTCTTTGCTCAATCTTTGAATGAAATGCATTTTATCATTTATTATTTCAGGTATTTATTAAATATTGTTTTTTATTTCCCCAAATCATTATGTTTATTTTCCTTTTATTACTTTATAAACAAACACAGTTTTTGTATTTCTTCATCAATTTTACACAAAAATGACCCATACAGAAACCTTTGATATTTGCTCATTTTTTGCAAGTAACATATTTACTGCAGAAAACTATTCACCTGCCCCTTATTTCACAACTCAACATGGCTGCTTTTGTATATTTGATGCATGTAAGTCTTATTTTGTAATTTATTACCACAGAAAATATTTGATATATTGTGAAAGATAACTAGACATAATATTTGAAAGTTAGGCTAAGGTTACCTTGACCTTGAAATCCATTATTAGTGAGAAAGAGAAACATGTCCAATACTATTAGCTAGCTTGTGGTATTGTGTTATTCTAGCTAGCTAATGTTAGCTAGGTCAACAAAATAAAAGTTGAATAAATGTATGCATAAATCAATACTATTGGTCGCCCTTTATGTCTGTCAGTGTTCCTGTGTCAGTGTTGGCTTCATCACTGTCTCCACTCATATACTTGAACAACTGTTTGATGTACATTTGAAAATATTTGTGTGCTTTTGATTTTCTTTATCCAGAGTTTAGTATGGCTGGTCTCAATCATTCGAGATTAATGACTGAAATGGTTGTAGAGATGCTACAAAACGAACAGGATGAGGAAGATCAAGCGATTCTTAGTCCTGATTCAGAGTCTGAAATATCTGATGCTGATGACCTAGACTATGTGCCACAGGGTCAATCTGGAGTTGTGGGTGTAAATCCAGCTCTCCTAGATGAAGAAGACTCTGTGATGATATTGAAGACTTGTCTGATGAGAAAACTCAGACACAGTACAATAGATTGAGTAAAAATGGTACGCATCTACTCATGTAAGCAGAGAACATGGAGGTGGCCCATGGTTCTGTGGTACAATGTGCTGGATGTTACCACTTTCATTGCCTACACCAGGGGCAGCCAACATTGGTCCTGAAGAGCCACAGTCCTGCAGAGTTCAACTCCAGCCCTAATCAAACACACCTGAAAAAGCTAATCAAGGTCTAAGTGTTACCAGAAAGCTACAGGCGGGTGGGTTTTTATTAAGATTGGAGCAAAACTCTGCAGGACTGTGGCTCTCCAGGACCAATGCTGACCATCTCTGGACTACAACTTCACTTCTTTTTTTCAGTCACATTCACTACAATTCTCTACAGTTGCACTACAGACAGTTCAATTTCAGTATTATCGGTTGTCAGTGATATTTGTATGTTATGTGTGACAAAGTGGCAAATAAACATATTTCAAGTGTTAAATGCGTTGGTCTAAATAACTGCTAAAATTATTATTTTTAAAAGTCTTTATTCTTTTGTTTTATTACGCTTGCATATATGGGTCGTTTTTGACCCATGCGTCTAAACTTGATGTATTAACACAAAACCTAGTAAAAGAATAAAATATTAATTTGTGGTCATTGAAAAAAGATATTTTGAATATTAATGGATCATGAAATTCATAGATCAGGGAATATTAAAAGCTGAAATAAACTGATTTCAAAAGATATAACAAAAAAATGCCCAGCAAAGTATGAAATAACATAGGAAATGAATACGGGTCATTTCAGACCCATGTTGTGCATTAGAAGGGGTTTGCATAACTTGTGTATCAAAAGGATAAATGTGTTAGAAAATGTATTTAATTAACATTATATTAAACTAACAAAGTTAGCATTGTCTTAGTGTTATTCATGCTACAAGGGTCAATTTACTCAGCCATGAAGATGGAGGACAACAAAGAGATTATAGAAAATGACAAAGTAGGTGAAAAGAAAAGTTAGGACCAGGCGACACATGACTAAAACATAAAATGCATTGCAGATCTAGATAAAATATATATTTGGTGAAATATCTTGTCTCATTACTGTATTGTATGAAGAGCAAAGTGACAAGAAAGCAAGTGAGTCCAGAGTAGATGAAGAGAACGTGTAGGACTAGCTACACAACATATTATGAATACATTAAAGATTAGGGTATTGCATTTAAAGGGGTCACATGATGCGATTTTAATTTTTCCTACACCAAATACACAAAATAATGTTCTTTTTAGCAACATCATATGACCCCTTTAAGATCAGAGCATTGCAACTGTTGATTTTTCTTTAAAAATATGTTTGTTTTCTTCATTTATTTGTCATATAATGTCATCTGATCTTCATCAAAGTGGCTACCTTGTTGGAAAAAGTGACTATACCTTGTTGTTAGCTAAGATTTTTTTATGTTTTGTGATAGTTGTTTAGAGTCTCTTGTTTGATCTGAGAATTTAACAGAGAATCGATTCCAAAAGTTGGAATCAATTCCATTAAAGGGAATCGACTCTTCTTTAAGAGATCATTTAAAGGTGACATATCATGAAAATCTGACTTTTCCAGGTTTTAAGTGCTATAATCAGGTCCCTGATGCATCTACCAACCAAGGAAACGTGAAAAAGATTAACCCAGTAACTTTGTTTTGGTAAGCCTTTTTTTGCAAGCGTCAGAAAACGAGCGCGTCTGATTTCGCTCACTTGGTGACGTGGCAAAAGGATCTCATTATAATATTACCGCCCCTTAATCTGTAA